AAGCCCAACGCCCTATCCAAAGCCCAACGCCCTACTTTCCTGCGCCCTCTCACGTCAGAAGTTCTCTATCTCTGCATGTCTTCACTGGGAGATTTAGGTGTCGATACAAGTACTGCACCTTGAAGATAGCAAAGTCGGAGTCCCAACCAGCACTTGGGTATTACTACCTTTCACCATTATTTCCGCGTGCTCTGAAATAACGAAGGTGTTACCTTGTACAGCCGCCAAACAATTTCTTTTGCACATGGGAACCTCCATCCTCGGAGGCAAATGTACATTTTGCCTTTTATATTTTCTTCTTATTCGCCTTATTTTGAACCTCAGGCCACCTTTGTACACACCCTCCTCGAAAAATAAAAGAGTCTGCAAGGAGGATTACATTTACTGGTTAATGGCTCCGCTATGGAAATAATATCTGGTCCGTTTCCACACTACTACCTTACCGATGACATATCAGTCGACGTGTACAATTTTTCATGAATTCCCCAAAAACGGGTCGTGAACATGGTCTCACCGATATTCTTTTGTATCTTTTTTATTTTTCATCATTCGTTCGCTGTTGTAAGGCTTCCATGGAGTATCTTTTATAGGTGCAGCTGACCGACTTCGAAAATGCAGCTTATTGCTGCTTCGTTGTGTTGTTGACAAGGTCAGCTGAATTGTCATGCAACCCTACATAACTGATTTTTCAATCTTTGTGTTTCAGAGTGATAATCTCATTCCGCCTCACTTATTTGCTGCCCATTTCCATGGTAACTGAGAACATGAAGCGAGCTCAAAAAAGAGATGCCGTCACAAAGCAGAAGTTTCTGTTCAGGTATGTTTGCGAATAAAGAAGGAACGAATTCATTGTATAGATCACTCGACATTTGAGGGGCAGACTCGGGATTGGACATTTACGGTTTAAAACCTTTCAGAAAGAGTTTGGCTACGTGCAAATCACCTCCAGAAAACTTAAAAGGAACACCACAATGTGGAGAACCAAGCGAAGAAATTGAGGAAATGACAATAAACCAGATTATCAACGGTCAGCGATGCCTTCTGTTCATGAAAGAATGCTTTCGAATTGGTTTGTAATTTAGGAAAAGAAGGCGACGACACTTTTCCTGGGTTGGTTCCACTGATTAAGCAATACCTCGACAGTGCAGACGTAGACGTGGATACTCGTTGCACAGTTTCGCAATATCTGAACTTCATTTCGGTGCGCCAGTTTGAGTTATTTTACAATCCGTTTTAGAAATAAACTGTATGTTCTTGCAAGCATTCTTCAAGTGTTATTTCTAGAAGCGCGCTTCTGGTGAAATTTGGACACTGGCGCACTGGATACGACATTTTGTGGATACTCATCCGGCATACGAACACGATTCACAGGTTCCAGATGAGACGATTTACGATCTTGTCATGGAGGTGAGAGGCAACCTTCAGTTGTAATTGATTTTCTTGCAGCAAATGCTCTTCACCGCGACATGCGTTGTTCCGAGTGCTAGAGTGCTATGCCTGCTGACATACATACACTCTGTCTAGTTCCCTTTTTGGCGTCCGTTACTGTTCCTCTGATGGTGGAAGATTGCTATGCAGAGGTGAAAATTCTACCCAACATCGGCTTCAGTCGCTTAGAGGAAACTAATTTGGGCAGAAAAATTTCTTGCTCAACTGGACAGGAAAACGGATGTTTAATTTCGTGACTGGTACCTGCTCCCGTGGTATCGCACAGGCTGTTGTTATTCTTATGTGGTATATCATCGCAAGGTCTACATTTTTTTGCTTGAAACTAGCCCGCACGCTATCCTTATAGCCTCTTTGGCATTACTCCTATTTCCTGTAATGTGGCCTTAACTATTCGTCATCATCTCTTCACATTCGTGGGCTACACATGAGCACCTTCAGTGACATAATCTTGCAAAACTACTGATAGTGCAGTAGGAGGGACTACTGCAGTTTGAAGGTGAATGGAAGGCGGTAGAAGGCAGAAGAAGAAGATGGAAAAGAATGAAGTCGAGTGGGAATGAAGAATGGAAATAAACATGAGCCCTAATAACGTGTGGTTGAGTACAATAGAGTTTTCCCCTCCAGTGTACGTCACAGGCTACCGAGTGCTGTTGAGTTGCTCCTCCCAAGAGGCGGCGAAGTGGAAAGTTGCTCGCTCACCACGCATGCGGTACGGGATAAAATCTGTCAAATTCGATAGGCCTGATCAGACAAACAAGCCTACCCCGTTGGGACGATACAGTGCTACCAAATTTACCTGGAAGGATGAAATATTGACTTTTCACAGCCTTTTGCCGTTTTCATCATTATTTCTCATGAAATGCTTCGAAATCGATGTCCCTTACTTCCTTTACTGATGAGCACGGCGGGAGGACTATATCTGGTTTCGCTTGGCTCACGTCTTAAGGCACCTGCGGAACGGGCCCCGAGCTAAGTTTTTGCTCCCACCCCCCTCCTCAATATTTC